CTAGTCTCCAAGGAAAAACCTGGTTATACCCTCTCCAAGAAAGACCTGTTTGTTCTCTAGGTAGGGCATGGTGTATTCAAGACTCTTCTCCAGCACCACACTTCAAAGGCATTGATTATTCTTCGTAATTATTATTATTAATTATTCATCCTTAGTCATTGTCCAGCTCTCAGATAAATAGCAGGCAATTGAGAAGACCATGGCCTAAGTCAGGTGCACCTGACTCTCTAGACTGGCATTATTGTTCTTTAGTATTCTTTTTTATTAAGATATTTAATGAATGTTTATAAAGAACTGGGATTTCCATTTGTTCATTGTTGTACATTTTCCTCCCTGCCCCTCCTCCCTCCCCAGTTTGCTTTTTTTTCTTGAGGACAAAAATTCTTTCATTGTTATATAGTCTCCCCCCACTGCCACCCCCCACCCTGGACTACTTTACTATGCAGCTTTTATTCTGGACTCTTGTTAGGCCAGTAATACCTAATCATATATTCCTTTTATACAGTTCTCTCCTTCATCTGTTTCAATGCCATATACATTATGTATCCCGTCTTTTCTTAGTCTCCCTCAAATCCTCATTTCCATCCTGTTTTGTAACAGTGATATTATGCAATATTTTTATTTTTGTGACTGAGACATTTCATTCAGCATAATGTCCTCTATGGTCATCTATTTTGTATCATATTTCATGAGTTCTTGAGTTTTCAATGCTGCATAGTATTTCATTGCATGAATATACCACAGCTTCTCTATCAGTTTGCTTTTTGATGGGCACTTGGGTTGTTTCCAACTCTTTGCTATTGTGAACAAAGCTACAATAAACATGGGTGTGTATATATCTGCTTCTGTGGAAGTTATGATTTCTTTAGGGTATATTCCCAGCAGTGGAATTACTGGATCAAATGGTATTTCTAGTTCCAACTTTTTGAGAAAGCACCATACTGCCTTCCATATGGTTGCACCATTTTAAACTCCCACCAACAGTGAATAAGGGTTCCAGTTTCTTCACAAACTCACCAGCATTTGTTGTTTACTTCCCTCTGGTAGATAGGCAGCAAAACTCCTTGTCAGTATGCCACCAGAGCTCCCTCATAAATAGTACAATGTATATAAGCTGAACTTAGTATATGTGAATTTTATAGGCAAACTAATACAAAATAAAAGAATTTAAAACATAATAGTAGTAGTTAGAAATTATTAGTCAAGACAGATAAGAGAAATAAATCAGAAGTAAAAAAAAAACCCAGAAGAGATAAACAGCAATAATATGTTAGGTGATTTGATTTTAGATGATATATCTGGTATTTGTAAGATAAATAAATTAAAGATGATTATTATAAAAACAACTCTGTGTTTCTTAATATGAGATTAATAGCTCTTGGGTACTAACATGGAATGTTAGAAAATGTTTGTGAGATGTGGAAAACTAACAAGATGAAGATTGTTGCAAACAATATATTACATTACTTTTTTAATAGGAAGTATGTGTGTGAGCCAACAAATTGTGGCTGACCTTGAGGAGAATGGAAATCCCAGAACACTTGTGCTCATGCAAAACCTATACTTGGACCAGGAAGCAGTCTTCAGAACAGAGCATGGAAACACTTCATTGTTTAAAATCAGGAAAAGAGTGCATATCTTGTCGCCATATCTTTTCAATCTGTACACAGAACAGATCATTTGGGAAGGGCTTTATGAGGAAGAATGTGGCACAAGGATTGGAGGAAGACTCACCAACAACGTATTATATGGAGATGACACAACCTTGGTTGCTGAAACTGAAGATCTGAAGTGCTTGCTGCAGAAGGTCGACTGTAGTTTACAATATGGATTGAGGCTCAACATCAAGAACACAAAAAATTCTCACCACTGGGCCAATTGGTAGCATGATGATA